AAAATCTCACACACCTGTGTTTAGAACTCTACTATGTATAAAAATGATTTCAGAATATAAACACCTGCATAGGACAGTATTAATCAGAGAAAACATACTGGAGGAAGGCAATTTTTGAACTTGGTTCTGAATAAGATCCTGAATATTGTGAATGACACATAATAAGGACTCTTAAGCAAGTTAACAGGAAATCCTAACAATCTTAAGCCCTGGCTGAAATCTTGGCTCTGACACACTTGTCTGAGTGATCTCAGGCAAGTCTCTTCATGAGGCATCAGTTTCCTCCTCTGTAAAATGAGAATGACAGTGTCTACCCTACGGGGCTGCAATGATTTGACATGAGATTTGGGTAATGTGCTTTGTTCATAAAGCATTATTTTCGCTTGAATATCTACCACTAGTCCAATATAAAACATTGGTCAAGCTAGTTAATTATTATTCTGTGTATGAACTAGTTGACTAATTTCAATTAACACAGTTCATGAAAAGTGTAATTAAAACCAATTATAATGTACTTTGTGGCTACCACTTAAAACACTTTGCTTAATAATAACAATATTACAGCAAAAAGTAAAATGCATAACACGTTTGTCCTGAAGATGTGAAAGATGTCCTAGAGTCTGTGAAAGAATTTTAATACTCTGGTGTTCCATAATTTCTGACAAATGTAGAGCAGTTAAGATTGTGGGCCATATCATGAACTAATAAATAAAACACTTTAAAAAATATTCCAGTAAAAAAAACAACAAGGTTTGCCTCAGTGAATTCCTACAAGTCAACCAATCAGTGACAGCTGCTTACTCCTGAAAGTCAGCCAGGTAAGGACTCACACCAGTGGACACCCTTCTACTCCTCTACACACCAACCAATCGGCAACAGTCTCTCCTTAGTAACCACAATCTACAGTGATGTCGCCTCTGCCTCTGAAAGTCCACCAGTCCTTGAGCTCCAAGCTTCCTAAAAACCCCACATATGAGCTTGAAGACAATGTGCTTGACCAGCAAAGCTCACTTGTTTAAGTAAAGCAATAAATTCCACTTTGTGATTTCTGCTTCAGTTACTGAGAGGTGGTTTCATCCTTTGACTCTATAAAAGGTTATAAAATGTTAAGTCATATCACTATAAAATAGAAAATTATTTCACTATCAGTTTTTTAGTTTGGATCTTTATGATTAATCCTGGGCAACTTATTCAGCCATCATCCCTGTTTCCTGAGGTACATATATATAGATAGATATAGATATAGATATAGATATAGATATAGATATAGATGATATAGATATAGATATAGATATAGATATAGATATAGATATAGATAT